CCCACACACACTGGGCACAGGAGGGGGTGGAGGTTCGGCACTTTACACTCACCACACAAAGCCTGACTCTGCAAAGCTATGACTAAAAAGACATGTTTACAATAGCTTGCTGCACGTAGGGCAGTTTCAGCAGCTGATAATGAGATGGCTGCACGTACATAGAATCATAGAATCATAGAATAATAGGACTGGAAGGGACCTCGAGAGGTCATCGAGTCCAGCCCCCCGCCCTCAAGGCAGGATCAAGCTCCGTCTACACCATCCCTGACAGATGTCTATCTAACCTGTTCTTAAATATCTCCAGAGAGGGAGATTCCACCACCTCCCTTGGCAATTTATTCCAATATTTGACCACCCTGACAGTTAGGAATTTTTTCCTAATGTCCAATCTAAACCTCCCCTGCTGCACTTTAAGCCCATTACTCCTTGTCCTGTCCTCAGAAACCAAGAGGAACAAATTTTCTCCTTCCTCCTTGTGACACCCTTTTAGATATTTGAAAACCGCTATCATGTCCCCCCTTAATCTTCTTTTTTCCAAACTAAACAAGCCCAGTTCATGAAGCCTGGCTTCATAGGTCATGTTCTCTAGACCTTTAATCATTCTTGTCGCTCTTCTCTGTACCCTTTCCAATTTCTCCACATCTTTCTTGAAATGTGGCACCCAGAACTGGACACAGTACTCATTTGAGGCCTAACTAGTGCAGAGTAGAGCGGCAGAATGACTTCACGAGTTTTGCTTACCACACACCTGTTGATACAACCTAGAATCATATTTGCTTTTTTTGCAACAGCATCACACTGTTGACTCATATTCACCTTGTGGTCCACTATGACCCCTAGATCCCTTTCTGCCATGCTCCTTCCTAGACAGTCGCTTCCCGTCTTGTATGTATGGAACTGATTGTTCCTTCCTAAGTGGAGCACTTTGCATTTCTCTTTATTAAACCTCATCCTGTTTACCTCTGACCATTTCTCTAACTTGCTAAGGTCATTTTGAATTATGTCCCTATCCTCCAAAGAAGTCGCAACCCCACCCAGTTTGGTATCGTCTGCAAACTTAATAAGCGTTCTCTCATTAGCTCAGACATTTACCTCCCCCTTTCCCCCTCCTCCATCCCCCTTCTGTTCTGAAATTTGATTTGTCCTTTTCATGTGTATCCTTTGGTATATATGGTTGTGACTATTTTCTTCCACTATTTGATCTGAGGAAGTGGGTCTGGCCCACGAAAGCTCATCACCCAATAAACCATCTTGTTAGTCTTTGAAGTGCTACAGAGTCCTGTATTTTGTTTCAATGGGTACTAGTGGCGTTATACAAATGAAAGGTTGTTTTCCACCTAAAGCACCATGCATAGTTACACAAGGTTTCCATCTAATGGCAAACAAATCTCCGTATTCCACTCATGCTGCATTTGCTTTGAAAACAAGCTTTATTTAGCAGTACACTTGCCAGTAATAGCACTTGAAAAATTGAAAACACAAAATAAGGAACGTCAAGTCCATGCTAACAGCTCTCTGGACAGTAACACCCTGTCTTAGGAGGTGGTTTGGGCTAGTTTCAAACTAACCACATCTTATGTCAAATGTACACTGATGAGTGATGTCTCAAACTGAAGATCTTGGTTACAACTTATTTTGTTCCCCCAGACGAATGGGAAAGCCACACCATTCTCAGTTTACTAAACTCCCGAATCTAAGGGAACAGCTCTTGATGCCATTGATATTTAGGATCAAACACAGTTTGTTTTTTATTTTCCAAACAGTTTTATTGAAATGTGCCAGTAACACAGGCAGCACAAAATATGAATGGGAAAACAAATCACATGTACAGTAATTTTAAAAATTTAAAGTATGTGGGAGCCAGACCGCTTCACTTCTCCCAGCTGACATGTCTTCACTAGGGGTAACTTCTACTAAACTGGGGCATTAAAAAAAAGGAATACAAGAACTTGTTCAAAGGCAGCAGAAAGAACGGAAGGAAGCTCCTGTTCCTGGCCTGTCCTGGGCAGCGCTTACGAGGCATGCTGAGCAGTTGAGAAGCAGAGTTTCAGTGTGTATGGGTAGGGCCCATCTACAAGAACGAACAGGAGAAAGGGTTATTCTTTGCTCAGATTCACTGTAGCTCTAGCACCTTTTAGCAGAGAGGATCGGAAAGCTCATTATGCGCTTTAAGTCCCATCTCTCCCTCAGGTTAGACGCATTATCCCCTCTCTGCAGAGGAGAGGACAGACTTAGCAGGTCAATGACAGAGCAGAAAATACCACCCTGGACCATTCCAGCTCCCTCCTACACAGCAGGAGCATGTGTCCTCCCACCACTGTAATCTGCTCGAGGGCAGCGTGTCAAATCTCAGTTCACAGGACGCTACAAAGCAGGGTAGATGGGAACCCTCCATCGTATTAGCACAGCAACTCCCTCGGACAGACCGTGGCCATTTCAGAAGACAACGAATCACAAGGCTCGGAGGGGTTGCCCTGGCAGGCTGCATCTGCCACAAGGAGGAGTCCAGTTATCTGGGCACAAGCTTTCGTGGTAAAACACACTGTGCCAGAGGGATCTGACGAAGTGTGTTTTACCCACAAAAGCTTATGCCCAAAATCAACTGGTTAGTCTTTAAGGTGCCAGTCAGTCAATCTCAGCATTTAACCGACCAGGCTTCTGAGCAATGTCCCCTGCAAGCTACCCGCTTGTGCAGCCACTCAGGAGAAATTCCAATGCCGACCAGCTGACTAGCAGAGCGCCCACAGCTAGGTTTTGGTTTCTACTGGTGGCGCACATGAGCACGTGCCTTGGTGCCCATAAACATTTGTTCAGCACATGGATGGAAAAGATGAGAGGGAACAATGCTTACCCGAGTCTGGCTGCTGACTGAATTAGACGTCTACCAAAGATTGGAAAGCATTTGCTCCATCACTACCCACTCTCCTGGACCAAGACTTACACATTAAGCCAAGAGCCCCCAAGCATGAGTGTATGGCAAGTCTTACTTGGGTTTTTCATCTGGTAATGGTTCAGGAATGACAGGGTCTCCAGGGCCTCGCTTTTTGAATCCCATTCTAGCAAGCCGGAAGAGCTTCTTTCACCTGATCGGAACACTGGAGGTTACAAGTGTGCGCACATCACTATACGAGCAGGACACAGCAGGATAACAGCACATTGCTACGTAAGAGCTCTGGGCCCCGCTCTATGGGTCTCAGACATCTGGGCTGGGAACAGCAGAAACACCTTCACAAGCCAACTGTTACAATTGCACTTGAGGGAGGTGAGATTTGTCATGAGAGACTAAGGCCAGAAGGGACCTAG